AAATACAAGTAGAAAAAGAAAAAAAAAAACGAAAGAAAAGAAAACAAAAACAAAAAAAAAACCTGTATCGCTGGACGATAACGGTCAGCCTCGAAGCGTGGAGCCACCCAAGGCCTAGTCCAAGTGCTTCCTAGCCAGCTGTGGTGGAGAGATGGTATGGTCCTCCAAGCCTCGATGTCAGCTGGCATGTCCGGTGATTTCCGCTGTCAGCGCTTCATGGACCGACTATAAGGTAGCCCTCCATATCGGCCCATCAGGAACGGGTATGATTCCCTGTCGAAGCCTAGCAAAGGCTAAGTGATAAATGCTAGGTTCTACACCCGGAGAGAGCGTATCTAGTTCTGATTCGATTTGTAAAGGAGCCGTGACCCCGAGAAGTCATGTGGACGAAGTGAAGCTCAGAGGCAGCCCATGTTCTAACTTCTGACCGAGATGACGCGAGACATGGTGTCGCACTGAAAACACGTGAGCCTGTTTTCTGTGTTTCTATTGGCTGGACAAGCCCTATATTCCTCGCGTGGAAAAGGGGTAGATGTATTTAGAACACCCACACCTTCCTGTTCTTCTTTCCTTTGTGTAACGAATACAATCATACATCTATTGAAAAAAAAAAAAAAAAAAAGCTTTGGTGCCCTAGAAGACCGCTTATACGAAACAAGCCGTGTCGATGCAAGTGTATATCCTCAGCCTTTAAGCACGAAGATCGTCCTTATACAGGCTAGGGGGTATATTAAACTCTATATACCTTAAGAAGTACCTATATATTAGAGAATTCTCTTTTGGTATAGTAGTATGTTTTTAAGTGTGATAGTTATAAGCCCGGGTGGTAGCAGTAACTAGTAACTTCCTGCTGATCTATTATCTACGTTTATCTATTTTGCGTGTGCTTCCGCAGCTAATTAAGGAGTATCTACCCTACTCTCTCGCTCAGAAAAGCCCTTATTCGCTAAACCCCTGCTATAAACTATGTCCATAAAGCTTAAAGTTACCGCCAAAGCGCTCGGTATCCCGCAGCTAGAGTCTACTAGGTAATAGGCCGATTATATCTTCTATATTAAGTTATATACGCAGGGTATAGAGGTCTAGGCCTTACTCGACCCTAACGGGCCGGAGCAGCTAGACGACCGACCCGAGTATATTATACCTATATCGATTAACTGCGCGAAAAACACACCTAGGTTATTAACGGGGTGCTAACCCCTCCCACCACGTCAGAACTAATCGAGCTCGCTAAGCTAAAAGGCTATAAGGTCACGGTATATAATTAAAAGCTCGACCGATCGATTAAGGTGCTTAATAAAGCTAATTATATACTTAAAGCGACTATCGAAACCTCTGCCTATTAATAAGCCGTCGAGGAAGCTATTAAGAAGTACCCTAGTTACGAAGAGGGGAAATAAAACCGTTACTTCACGATTCGATAAGTAATAAAGTAATTAAAGAAATACTTTACTCCTAGCGTACTATTCTTAGCTAAGGAGGTCTATCGAGTATACGATAAGCACCTCTAGGATACCCGAAGAGCTAACACGAAAGTAGTAGCGTGGTATACGGAGTAGAACACTCTTATCCGGCGCTATTATCAGTATAAAGTAAACGACATTAAGGGTTCTATAGCTATCCGTAACTTCCTCGTCGTAGTTAGGCAGCGTTTTACCCCGGCTTAGGTAGAGGCTAAGTTCCACGAACTAATCCGTAAAGAGAATAAGGACGAAGAAATCGACGATATCCTAATATACGGCCGCGAATTTAACGCGATTATAAGCGCTCCTAGCCTGAATAGAACTAGGTATAGCGTTTACGCTACCCTAGGTAACCGCTTTAATAAAGACGATAATAGTGGTGGAAAAGAGAAGAAAGGTAAAGGTAAGGGGCATAACTACCCCTATAATAGGACCTATTTATAAAAGCCGGAGCTCTATAATAGAGTGGAGTATACTCTTATAGGTAAATACGAGTAGTAGCTATCCGTGCAGATAAGCGATAATTATATCGAACGAATCCGGAAAGAGCTATAGTAATAAAAGTGGAAAAGTCTACGAGAAACCCTATTAAAGAAGGGATAGAGAAGCGCCGGTGAGAATAGCGATAAGGGTGATGGATACCCCTTAAAGGTTATTATAACTATCTTAGACCTAACCCTTATTTACGATATAAGCGAAGTTCCCGGTATCTACGCGGCGCTGCGATCTAGCGCTTACCCGCTCTCGTATAGTATCCTTTTAGATAACTACGGCGCGATATACTTAGTTAATTTAATCGACTTACTTATTCCCGGATCTTTTATCCCGATAAACGGCACTATTAAATCCGGCACCACGGAATTCCCTATTATCGGTAAAGGTAAACGGATCTTTAAGGGCCTTCTTAATAGACTATTAGGTGCTCCGAAAGTCGATTTAGAGCTTAACGACGTTATTATAGTAGAGGGATCTTACACAAATATTATCTCGGAAGATCTATTATATAAGGTTAGGATCTAGTATTTAGGATATAACTACTCACTACGATACGGAACGGCGGATAAGAGCGTGGTTTTATTAAAGCTATTACGACGCTTTAATATAATTATTCTTTAGTATAAGCTAATTTTATTCTCTTCTTCTTCTTATCTGTATATTTAACTAATACTATAAGGCGTGATTCCCGTAAGCTACGATTATATCTATATACTAGTAATAGCTGTCGATCGACTAATAAGAGCGCCGCTTCCGAAGCTATTTCGACTATCTCGAGGTTCCCCTTATTTATATATTGACGAAGAGAGGCTATAGCACTTAAGAGCCGGCCACCTAGGACTAAAAGCTCTCCGAGCATTAGTTCGTAACGCTAGGAACGTGCTAATATAAGGCACTAAGCAGATTAAGTATAAGACCTGTGCTCGAATATAGGTTTATTAGGTCGTGTTTTATCGACTATTAGATTACCGCTCGCCTAAGCCGTTCTAGCGTATTTATTAGGACTTATAGGAATTACCAGAGAGTTATAACGGTATACGTTATCTCCTTATTATCAAGGAGGAGTATAGCGGTTAGATTTATATACTGCCTTTAGTGTCGAAAAATAGCGTTACGGTTTATAACGCCCTTAAAGCGTTCGAAAGATAGGTTACGTGTTAGTTTAATCTATGCGTTTATAAGATACGTAGTGATAACGAGCCTTTAATTATATATATAGCAGGGGATTCGCGGACTTAGCTATAGGCGAGCACGAAGGGTATCGATATAGAGATCGCGCCTCTATATACCTATAAACCGAATAGCACTATCGAGAGGGCAGAATAAGCTATCGTTATAAAGTCTAACGCTATACTAAACGGCGTAGGTCTTCTAGGTTTTATATAGCCGGAGAGTATAAGAGTAGCGGCGTAACTTTATAATATAATTCTATTATAGCGCTTAGGTTAGAAGTCTCCTATCGAGGTACTAGACTTATAGTTTAAAAAGCACGCGTCGCTTAAGATAAGAGAGTATTCCGCCGACCTACGGCTAGATTAGAGTGGTATTTATACCTACGGTTACCGCGCCTATCCTTTAGATAAGAATAGGGAGGCTAGAAGGGAGAGAAAGATATATAAGATTTAACTAAGGGGCTATATTAGGTATCTTATAGGATATATTGCCTATAATATCTATAGGATATAGATCCCGTAGCTTTAAAAGGTTATAACGACACGTAACGTGTAGTTTAACGAGCGGTTATTTTATAACTCGAAGCTTGAAAAAACAGAGTAAATTACGGAGACGGAGGCGAGGAACTGGCTTATAACCTATAAAGACTATAAAGATAAGGATGCCGAATTTATCCTATAAGCAGAACCGCCCGCCGGCCTATCTAGTAGCGCACCTTCTAAAGATTAAGCAGAGTCTACGGGTTTAGACTCGGGGGTAGGAGTAGCTAGTACTATTCTGGAGGCGCCGGAACTATTAGATACCAACGTAACCACTAACGGCCACGACGGGCTACCCGAACCGCCCGCGCTAATAGGACTCTAAACCCTATGTGCTATACCTAATCCGCTAAGCCGGAATAACCAGGACTAAGGCGCCGGGCCGTAGCTATAGTAGGAGGAACTCTTAATTAAACCCTCTTCTATATAGACTACGGCACCTAAAGGAGACGCTGCTATTAACACGCTAGAGCTATATATACTAGATCTTAATACAGATAATCCGGAGCACTAAGGAGGAGCGAGGAGTACGTAGACTAAGGCACGGGAACTAGCTACTCCTAATCTAGGTCACGGTATTAACCAGCCCTTAACGTCTAAATCTCGAACTAACGTTGACCCTAAGGTAACCA